TTCGCTCGGTACGAAATCGACTTTGAATTTTCGCTCGGTACGCGTGCGGTACGTTATAACCGATCTCACTGTAGATCGTTGTCTCGATGCAAAAATAAAAAAAAAATTAAAAAAAAATTTTTATTATATATAACTGAATTGTTACTTTACATTTTACGGGTGCAGTATATATTTCACAATGGATTTTTATTTTTCTCCCGTAAATATAATACGTAACTATTATTCGCGAATGTAATGTATTTAAGGAATACATTTTCGAAAGCCTCTCTCCGGCGCGCAGAAAATATTTACAAATTAGGAGAATATTTCGTAAGCCAATAATATTTCGAAAAAGAAATTTCTCAAATTCAGTAGCTTATTTTATCCGTCACATTTATATCACGAACACATTGCGATCTTATAGAACATAATACTTCGGTTTAACGTATATCGTATTACCACCCTCGCGCGATCCCCTCTAAATCCTGGCGCTTTTTTTCCTCGAGGTCGCTTCAACCTGAATTTTACATGTTTCAAGGGATTAACGACCAAACGAAAGTTTCGGCTTGGCAACAGAGGTTGCACGCTTCAATATCTTCAGCGTCGTGAATTTTTCTGGAGAATTACGGAAGAACTTTAATTATAAAGGAGATAACGACAAGTGCCCGTGATATCGGTGCTTTCATAGAAAACTCTTACAAGAAGAGGGGAAAAGAAAAATGGGAAGCAGGAAACCTGATATTCTGCTCGATGGAACAACACTTCAAGCCTTACAACTGAGTAAAAATGAGACGAACTTCCCAATCGTGCATAGTTACGTAAGAAATGCTTAACTGCGTGTATGCACACAAATGCACATATATATTAGCGTTAAATATGGATGTGTATCGCGCCAATATGTTCCAAGTGCTAAATTCAAAGCACAAAGTCATTTGCTTGAAGAAATTGTAATAGCCAAATATCGGTGAATCTGAATCTACTATAAAATGCATATAATACGCGATGCTTCTTTAACAACTGGCATTTTAATATCTTCGTACATATGCATATGAACGTATGAAAGACGACGAAGGGAAAAAGTTGCATGGGAAGATTCTCTTTGTACATTTCTCTGAAGGGATTCGATAAAACGGAACGTCGTCTTTAACTCTTTAGATGGAACTATACGTCAAGCTGAGATGTATTCTTCGTTAGAATATTGCAACATTTTCTCGTGAAATTGTATTCAAAGCTTCCGAGAAATGTTAATTCGACGAGACGTCGAGTTTCGATTGGCACGGCGAGGTGTTTGACGAATACTCGACGAACGTGCTTGAGGAAGTCTCGTAATTTAGTTAAGAATTAATTTGGTTCGCTTTAGATTATCAGTCTTGTCCAATTTTGTTTCTTTTTCATATAATAGAAAATTGTAAGTAGAGTACAATAATTTACTTGTACGTAGTATGGCAACACAGTCACATTACTAAAAATTTCTGACTAAATATAACTGCGTGGTCTCTTGAGGAAGCACTGCTATCTCTAAGGAAGATTAGATGTAAGAGAAAACGATGGAGGACAAGGTGCTAAGAACTAAGAAGTAAATTCGTAGCCAATTCTCTTTCACAATATAATGGAACGTTAAAAACGGAATTTCATAATATCATGTATATTAATTGAAACAAAGATTGCAAATAAATTATCGTATTAACACAAGCGTAGCCTTTAAAAAATTAAATTCAAGATACAACTTATTTGGATGACACATTGTCTTCCTCAATTGCACGATTTGCTGTATATATCGACGCTATAGGTCCGATGTGTGGGACTGGAAACAGTAAACTGTGCCGCGAAGGGGCTACGTTTCGAGTCGAAGTTTTGGACGTATTATCGTCGAGATTGAATCTGTGCAGATTACTCGGGCATCTTCGGACGAAATGTGGCAACGGTGTCGCAGCGTGTTCTCGATCGAAAAGCGCTCGGTACCATCGACCGCAAAGAAGGAAAGGGAATTGTTCGGATTTCTGCCCAGAACTGTGTGTCTTCGCGTGTTTCATAATACAATTCGTTCCATGAGACAGGCACAGGAAATGATACGAAGGGAAAGAGACATATATATTTGAAACGACGAATGAAGACGCTCTCGAGCATCGCGACACCTCCTTCGCGAGATTACTACTACGCTTTATTATAGTTTTGTGAGAAATTGAACGCACGAAATGTTCGAGATATTACTTGGACTGGCAGCACTGATTCTTGAGAGGAATTCTTATTTTGGTGCATTATATTGATTAAAGTTTCGAGTATCGATATCGACGGGAGTGTTTATAGTATCATAGTATGCTTTCCAGTTATTTTTAGCAGTTTCTTGTTGTTATTTTTTTGTTTTTTTATTAGTGTCCTAAGATATGCCAAGATTTAAGATTATTGGTGTAGAATATATTGTAGTATTTTTTACTTTATTTTTATCCGCTCCTTGAGATTAAATTGTAATCATCTCGTTCGTTAGCGAAAATCGTCCATTTGATTTAAGACCAAGGTCTAATATCAACAAATTCATACTTATCAATTAAAGAATATGACAAAGATAGAAACAAGATACATACGATCTTCTACCAACGACAGCAACTAATTATGGGAATAAGGAAAAACGAATGAACAGGATTTTTAAAAAAATATAGAGATTAAAATAACGCCATTGCGTCTGGTCGAGGCAACTGTTTAACTCGGCTAGTCAATACGAGCGGATGAAGCAATTGTCGTACGAGAGAGTGTCAAAGTGAAAGTGACCGTGCGTTATCATTATGATATCATTGCAAGCGATCCAATCTACTTAATATCGTAATGACGGTGTAAGCTTGATTAAATCAGAGTTAGGACAAGCGAGATGAACCGGTTACAAGGTCGTCGAGTTTTTCACCAATTTCCCACGCTGGAGAAAGTACGTACTTATCTGAAAATAGTACTGGAGCTCGATAATTGCAAATTTTTTTACAGCATCTGAGATGCTTATGGAGTACGTAAAAATGGTTAAAATCACGTATTTGTGTACATTTTCGAGATATCGATGGAAATTTTGGTTTCTTGGCAATTTTGTCAGAAGGCATTCGAATTCTATGTGTAGGGCATTTATGCTATTTTTCCCCAACGTTTTTCTCGTAAACGATAAGCGTAAGGAAAAAAATGAAACAGGAAAACGATGAATGGTCCAAGATGAACTACATATCCACGATAATATTCTTCATGGGGCAAGTAGAATAGAACAGCTGCAAATTACAGAACGAAGGAGACTTGGAACAAAAGAAAAGAGGGTGATTTTTATTTCCTGTGTGAAAGTCCGTTTTTATCCAACGTTCATCTCGACAAGCAGAGGAATAATATGAAAGAGAGTTTCTTAAGTAGCGTCGTTAAATATACAACTCTACCGCCATTTTTATGTCACAAAATGTAAATCACATTTTACACGGCATTCACAGCCTGTATAGCTTCAACAGATATTAAACGACATATTAAAAAACGAAAATATTTAATCGAAACAAGAACTATTAGAGTAACTGTATACATTACCTTCCCCAATTCCACAAATTTGTTAATTAGAATTTTGCAACAACATGACACTCTCGTTGCTTCTAGGTAGAACAATTTTACATGCATAAAAAGTAATACCTCGACAGCTATAATTCTGCACATTGCACATTGGAAGGAGTAGAATATGATTGTTTTGCTAATATCATCAAGCTGCTGAAGAGAGTTAGATAAACTGTAGTGTTTTCAACGACATGAGCGAACGTTTTCCAATTTAAAAATATCAGAATGAGATGTTACTAGATATCGAGAGATGTTGATATTCTAGTATGACTTGTAACTTTTCTTGATCAAAGAAGGTTAAAACGAAGGTATGAAATATTTGCTATTTGATTGTAGTCTAAGTTCAAATCATATAAACCAATTAGTTGTTTGTAATCGATGTAAGACACTCTGCCTAACTGATTTCCTTCCAATATGAGATAGCCCAACCTAACCCCAATCCTTGTAGGATTCCTGGCTGCATGATGGTTAATTTATCGTTTCCCAATTCCAGAAGGTTCCATCCTACAATATATCTACAAACTGCAGGCTCTACGCTAATAACCTTATTATCGTTTAACCGGAGGCGAATATACTGCTGTAACCGAGCTCCTGTCGATCGGTTCGATGCCATTCAATCCGAAATTCAGCCCCAACAAATGCGGCACGTCCGCCAATGAGGTCTTGGGATATCTCGTTAATCTTATTGTACATCAGATACAGGAAACTCAATTGCTTCGGTTCTGAGAACAGATTTGGCAACACTGGTATGACATTGTACGTTAGGTTTAGCTAGAATACATTTTCCAATCCTTTAAACGATTCCTTCTTCATTTCTCAGGTTTTCTTACCTTGACGAAAGTTCAGTCTCGCAGGTGTTAAATTTTTGAAACCGTTTCCCCCGATGGCCCACACGTTCAAGTGGAGGATCTTTGATCCTAAGTCAGATTCTTGTACGATGACGTCCGCCATGTTTTCCATTTTGTCACGCACCTCGTACTTTCCTATCTGTCTGTACGTCTGTTCTTGCACCGATCGACCGATAGGCGAAATCAGTAAGACGAGCATCGAAGAAAGTCAGACGGCCAGGAAAGATATTAAGAAGAATAAAATGGATAAAATTAAACATCTTGAGATCGAGTTTTCGCGCCCCAGACTAAGCGATTGACGATCGGATCGTGACTGACGTGTCACTCTGAATATTTGTTGGTTTAGCAGCTCTGTTAGATGGAAGCAACGACCTCTATACCGTTTAGGTTGATGGGGAATTCGCTAGGTGCCACTTACGTGTTAAAATAATGTTCAAGCGGTGATATAATGGACATAAACGAGGTGGAATTTTTATAATGAAATTTTTGTTGAAATATCGAATATATCAATTTTTTATCCATTTTAAAATTTTATGGTATACATTTACCTTTGCACAAGTTTTGAAGCAAATAGTAGTTGCTAAAGGATTTAAGAAATTATGGTTTAAATATATTGTGAATTAATCGTTTTTCGAGCACTTTAACTGAATATTTTGTTCGTAGGATGACGAGAAGATTTGATGTGTGAAAAAAAGGGGAAGATTTCCATTAAAAAAAGAAAATAGATGTGCTTTTTACACTTGGGAAAAAAATATCATCGTCAATACGTAGTTCACTTTGAACAATTCACCTTTTTAGCTTCATCACTATGTTTGTAGGAATAACGCTGGAAATTAGTAGCATGAGCAGTCTGCATATACAGTTAGATTCTTCAAATAATTTAAAAATCTTGTGAACTTTGAAAGAGAGGTTACGTGGAAATATTTTCGATGAACTTCACGTATTGCTAGATTTCTTTTCCTAATGATATTTTACGAAATAGTATTACGTCAAATGTTTATGTTACAGTTTGTTATTAATTTGCTACACTAGTTCGTCCTATAACACCAAAAGCCCTATAACACAATATAGAAATTATCTTGCAATTATGATATCAATTCTTTTGCAAAGATGATAGTAGTATCAACGTGGTTTGATCGTAACAAAGTTTCGCGATACATACAAATTGTACGAATAATAATAAATAATAAAGTACGAATTAATTTATAGGAAATGTTCAATTATACTTTTCGCTTATGTTCAAATCTCGGGATGAGAAATGTTGAAAGTGGCGGATTTCCCCATTGAAATCATGCTAAAGTGCTTTCGATCGCCGTAAAGGAACGAATCTCCTGGCAGATTCTTGTAAAACTATTCAAACATTTTTTGCGTGGATAACGGAATAGGAGCGACGGCGATCTAAAATGGATAAAAATCGAACAAAGCGTCTGAAATCAGTTAGGATAGACTCTAACGATGCAAGAACGCCATCGTCTCATTTTCCGTGACACTTTAAGCACTTAAGTAACAGCAATTATTTCCAGATGTCAGCAGTATATGCACCATCGCGACATAAAATGACATTACAAAAATGAAAACAATGAGCTGGTGTTTGGTGTAAGATGTCCAAGAAATACTCGACGGTGTTCAACAATATAATTTGTTTAACAATCAACAATTAACAATCCTCGCCTTCAAGTGGTTTCGTATAATTCTCCATTACCACTGATTTTCTCGCTTCTCCACTAGACTTGCTTCGACGTTGAAATTTGATCCTTCGCACTTCGCCGTTCAAACTCGAATGCCTCTGTTTACAGATTCGTTTCTTTTGTTGCCCTTCGATATCCCCACTACGCGCGCGTTTGTTAGACGTCCGCGACCGTTGCCACGTACGCTTTCTTCCAAATATTCGGCGAAAGGATCGTAAGGATATCCATGGCTCGTTAGGCATATCGGCCTTACGCTTCGATGATGTGTTTTGTGTCGCGAAGCCGTCGGAAAGTTTCATCGTCGAATGCCGTCGGAAAGTTTCGCCGTCGAGTGCCGCCATAAATATTTTCAATCTTTAGGTGACATCGCAGCGGGAGACTTCAATGCAAAGCACTAAGTCAGGCAAAGCACAGACACGGCTGTACTAGTCAGGCGCACTAATGCAGAAACAGCAGCCACATTACTGCAAGAGCACATCAGAAAATAGAAAAATGGCTACCAGATAAACAAATAAAAGCAAACCCCAGTAAATACAACGATATTACATTTACACTAAGAAAACGGTAATCACCAAATATCCAATTAAATGGCACGCGTATAACACAAACAAGGCAAGTTAAATACCTGGAACTTCACTTAGACACACAACTTACATGGAAGCATACTAAATAAATTATAGACAAAATACGGATAAAAAGAAGACAAATGTACTCGTTAACTAGTCGAAGTTCTAAACCTAGCATAGAAAATAAACTAAAAATCTACAAAACGATAGTAAAACCAATTTGGTCGTACGGAATACCACTACGGGGGACAGCAGCAATGCGCCACATAAATAAACTAGAGTCGCTACAATCGAAGATACTGAGAACAATAGCGAACGCCCTCTGGTATGTCAGAAACGAGGATGTACGTAAAGACTTGAAAATACCAACGGTGAAAGAAGAAATCGGCAGGTACGCAAAAATATACAAGGAAAGAGCGGCAACACAGCCAAACCAGCTGGCTGCCGAAGCGAGCAGTACTCTGATAGAAAAAAGACTAAAAAGAAAACAGCCCACTGACCTCGCTAAGGAAATAAAATGGTCAAAATCGAAGATGATATCCCGCTGGGGGTAGCCATCCACATGTTATTTAGTAATTAAGTTAGAAAAATTTACCAAATGTTCAGTTGGACAAATTGTAAAGTACAAATTAAATAATAAAAAAAAAAAAAAAATAAAAAACTTTAAGCACTTGGCACGTCGAATCGGATCCCTTGCGATTTCACCTTTTTCCTTAGCTTTGTTTCACACGCTATAGTATGGGAGGTGTGAAAAATTGTTGAATTTATCGTCGCTTAAATCGAATATTATCAGTTCAGTAAGCTAAAAGGCTCTAAGACGATTTATTTCTTGTTGTATAATGGTCGACGAGTAGAGGGGAGAAAGTCGTGGAAAAATAGTTGCCGAACGAATTAATCGTTCTTTTGTCTTGTGTTAGTGAATGTACGATCGAGATTTGTGAAAATTGTTACCACTTTTGGAGGGGAAAGAGAGATTTTTCACACGGATTACCGACAATAAGCGAATTCCTCGGTTCAACGAGCAAACCACTGGCTGATCGATTATTACACCGTTTTACTTCTTTGTTGCTATCCTTGTCGAACGTGTGTTAAAAACCGAAAGTGAAACTGTCTATTAATAACGTTCAAACTGGGATACGTTGGTACAGATTTTTTAAAAAATTGCTTCAAAAAGATCGTAACTTTCTTGATAGTTTTTACAACAGTATCATTGGAGAATGAAAATGGACGAATACGGAAAGACTTTATAAGATGAAATAATAAGATTACGACGAAGAAAGTAGAAGTAAATTAGGAAAATCTTCTTAAACTTGCCAGGATTGAACACTGTAAAGTAGATTAATGAATTTTATTATGCCCTTACCGTAGTCAACCCTTGCGTATTGTTTTAGGTATATAGAAAAAGAGATAAAAATGCTAAATGATTATGCTTGAAATGTAAAGAATACAAATTCTCTAAAATTTTCTCGAATTTGTCAAGAGCGAAAAGTTGAACATTTTATGACCTTAAGAGTCTCCAAATCTTGCGGCATTATAGACAAACGCGCGAATCTCGTGACAAATATGAGCATAAAAGGCGATGAAAGGTGATGCTAACGTTTAGTTTCCAAACATCTGTAGCGGCACTTGGCAACAATGTATATCGCCGAAGCGAAGTGCCATCAATATCCCAACAGTCCTTCCACCAATTGTTCGAGAAGAAGGAGTGCGTGGCAACGGTCGCGGACGCCAAACAAACGCGTGGATAGTGGGGATATTGAGGGGCGACAAAAAGAAAAGAAACGAATCCGATCGACAGTTAAGTTTGAACCGGGAAGCAATAAAGTCGAGTTGTAACCGCGCAGCGAGATTGACTAGCGAAACCGAGAACGATACGCGACGCGTACAAAAGACACTTGTTAATAAACATATTGTTGACCTAAACACCGAGTGATTATTTAACACACTACACCCAATGCTACTTCACATTAAACCAAAGTTGAGAAAACACTGTGTTAAAAACACGTGTCAACCGTGAAAAGGCAAATCAATTTCGCAAATTCTTAGCATTCCGTTGATATTATACATTCAGTTCTATATTCAGCGTTATTCAGTTAGTGCGACATTCGGGTCTTGAATAACCTGAAACTCGTTTCAAATCTCGTCCAGCAACTTCTATGTACTATGGATAATAAAACAAAGTAAAAAGAAAAACGACTAGAAAATAAAACGACTCTATTAGAGCCATTAGAAATGACTCATTGCAGATTGCAGGACACGCTTCACCAACCATACGACAAATAGTATATGTATAATGATTGAACACGGTCAGGACCACGAAACCTTTATATTTTATAGGATGGAACACGCGTTTTAATTCGGGAAAAAATTTTTTTATCGCTACAGAGTGGACTGTGCATCGCTCTGAAGTTCTGGCTATCGTTGTTCGTTCGACTGTTACTTTCTACGATTTATTACAGGTCATCTGGCTGGCCAAGCCAATTAAATCGAATCCCTGCTCCATCGGTGAATCCCGTCGATACCGTGGAAGATACTTTTTAGCCGGTTCACAGGATTCTGGATCGGCGATTTCCAGAGAATAGACCGATAAAATCAGTTGACTGACATTCCACGCCGCATCCTTTGTTTGTTAGAGAATTTCTCGGATCAATTATTCCTCGCAGAATTGATAGGTTTGCTTCGTTTCTGTGCAGTTTTTAAAAAAATAATAGCGAAAAGCAAAAATAAAAAACATAGCGACAAAAGGAAACAGAAATATTTCCTTAATATTTGTAATATTCCTTTTCAAGATTTGTAACTGTAAAATTTCACATTTTCTCATATAAACAGCTCAAGAACTCTCATCACCTGTCTTTCCATGCACAAAATCCCAATTCTCTGTTCACTATATACATGTCATAGTTAACAGAATGACGACTATATTTAATACAACTAAAAACAGACATTCATTCCATCCGATAAATATTTACAATATATATACTATCTTTCTTTAGATACTTCGTATGTATATGTAATGGGTTGATAAGAAAATTCGTAGTGTTTTTCACAATTGATATGTTCCGTGGTAGATTTTGAAAAGATTGCAAGAGGACTTCCCTTTGCACAAATTTTATCCATATTTAAAAGAAATACTACGTATATTTCAGTCGATAAAATGTGTATGCGATAAAAATACATTTGCTTCA